AATCATAGGCAGTGCTCCCTGACGCACAGGGTGTCATAAGTGCTGTACCTGAGGCACACGTGTGACCCACGGAAGTATGTATTGGTGTCACTTCCCGAGCCAGGTGCTCCTGACACTTCAGGGTGGATAGGAATCCCCAGCGGTCATGTTAAAAGGCAGATTCTGGGGGCGCCTGGGTGGCTCAGTCGGTTAAGCAGCCAACTTCAGCAGGTCATGATCTCACGGTTCATGAATTCGAGCCCTGCATGGGGCTCTGTGCTGACAGCTCAGAGCCTGGAGCCTGCTTCGGATTCTGTTCTCTCTCTCTCTCTGCCCCTCCCCTGCTTATGCTCTGTTGCTCTGTCTCTCAAAAATAAATAAATGGTAAAAAAAAAAAAAACTTTAACGCAGATTCTGATTCAGCAGGTCTGGGGGAGGGTGAGGTGTTTCATTTCTTTTTAAAATGTTTTAATTAAAAATGTTTTTTAGGGGCGCCTGGGTGGCTTAGTCGATTAAGCGTCCGACTTTCACTTAGGTCATGATCTCGCGGTTTGTGGGTTCGAGCCCAGCGTCGGGCTCTGTGCTGACTGCCAGCTCAGAGCCTGGAGCCTGTTTCAGAGTCTGTAACTCCCTCTCTCTCTGACCCTCCCCTGCTCACGCTGTCTCTCTCTCTCTCTCCTAGAAATAAATAAAACATAAAAAAATTAAAAAAATAAATAAATAAAAATGTTTTTTAAATGTTGAGAGAGGGAGAGAGACAGGGTGTGCGTGGGGGAGGCGCAGAGAGAAGGAGACACAGAATCCGAAGCAGGCTCCAGGCTCCGAGCTGTCAGCACAGAGCCCGATGCAGGGCTCGAACCTCCAAACCTGTGAGATCATGACCTGAACTGACTGAGCCCGCCACGTGCCCCAGATTTTTCATTTCTAAGGTCCCAGATCATGCTGCTGCTGCTGGTCTACAGACCACACTTTGAGGAGTAAGGGTTTAGATAATCCAGATTTTTCTATTCATGACTGAATCCTCCATCCAAATGTCGAGAAACCAGAAGCAACAAGTATCAACATATCAGTGTCAATCCATGTTATTTTGAGCTGTTTAAGGTGGAACCATGGGGCGTTTTCAGCAGTCGCCGTCTCAGTCTCCATTATGCTCCTGGTGTTACAGGGAGTTACAGCAGGAAAAAAAAAATACAAAAAAACCTGCATCTCCACCTTCAATAACCTTACTGTTTACAAAGGAGATGAATCAGATTAAACAGCAGAAAAACAAGTCGGCTCCAGTCTGCACAGCTACACAGCACACATCCACATTCACAAAAGGCCCCAGAGAAGCATGAATAGGCCTCAGACTGTGCTCATCAGCAGACGTCAGTATCCTCCCAACTGGTCTTCCTGTGTCTGCTCTGGACTCGCTCCAATCCGTGCTCTCCACTGCGCCGACCAGAATAGGCTTTTCAGCATCACAACCCTGGCAGTGTTAGAGCCCCCCACTCTCCAACCCCGTTTCAGGCCTTCCATTTCCCCCCACTGCGTTTGGCAGGGTCCACAGGGCCTGCCCCTGTCCTTTGTAATCCGGTCACACTGGCCATGCTGCACTCCTCTGTGTCACACAATCTTTGGACAGACCGTTGGCTGGGATTCATGATTTAACCCCATCTCCTCCTCCATGTCACAAAGAGGAGGGGGTGAGAGGCAAGGGAGTTAGCATGAACGTCTGCTACCAGGAAGGCATCCCCGGCGTGTGTGTCGGGGGGTGGAGACTGCTACCTTACAGGAAGAAGAAGACAAGGTCAGGTAAGGTGAAACACTGAGGCGACACGCTTGGGATGCAGGAGAGACTGTCTCACCAGCAATGTTATGGCCAAAAGACCTTGAAAACAAAGTACTTTCAAGATCTTATGACCAACTTAGAAGGTATTTTCTAAGGGTCCTGAAAGACCGTATCCATGAGAAGTCTTTCGTAGGAGGCTCATTCAGATTACCAGATCTCTGTCATTAGCCCTGGATTCCTTGAACTTGAGACTTAATGTCACTAAGTGTCTGTCTAGATTTCTCCTCTCTATACACTGGCCCTCTCAGTACACATAATCTGAAACTGGGGCGCCTGGGTGGCTCAGTCGGTTAAGCGTCTGACTTCGGCTCAGGTCATGATCTCGTGGTTTGTGGGTTCGAGCCCCACGTCAGGCTCTGTGCTGACTGCTTAGAGCCTGGAGCTCGTTTCAGATTCTGTGGCTCCCTCTCTCTCTCTGCCACTCCCCCTTCACACTCTGTATCTCTCTCTCTCTCTCTCTCTTAAAAATAAACATTTAAGGGGCGCCTGGGTGGCTTAGTCGATTAAGCGTCCGACTTTCGCTTAGGTCATGATCTCGCGGTTCGTGGGTTTGAGCCCCGCGTCGGGCTCTGTGCTGACTGCCAGCTCAGAGCCTGGAGCCTGCTTCAGTCTGTGACTCCCTCTCTCTCTGACCCTCCCCTGCTCACGCTGTCTCTCTCTCTCTCTCCTAAAAAATAAAAATAAAACATTTAAAAAAAATAAACATTTAAAAACAAGAGTTAAGAAAATAATCTGAAACTGAACTCACATAGTCACATCCTTAAATGCCCTCTTCCGTCTTGTACATTTGTCAGCCAGTTTGCTACCTAGAACCATCTCAGACGCTTTCCCCTTGCTCTCTTTACTTTGTCAGTTACCGATTCTATAGTCCCTCCCTTGTCCAATCCTTCACTCCGGTGCCATCACTAGCAACATTGTCATTTAGGTTTTCTCTCTCTTGCACTGATGCCAAGACCTTTTACTGATCTCCCAACTCAAAGCATCCCTCCCCTACCGGCATCTCGGCACTGTTTCCCCAGTCACCTCCACTGGATTTCCACCAGCTGTCAAACAGAACTCAAACTCCTTGGTTTGACTTTCACAGCTCCTCTCCTGTCTTGGGTGGCTTATCTTCCACCTCCGCTGTCCTTTTGCTACAGCCTAAGGGAGGTATTTGCCCTTCAAAACCTGATGGATCTTCCAAACTGTGCCTATTCTGATTCCTGCTGCCTCCCCCAACCTCTATCCTTCTATTACCCATTCTTCAATGGCTCACCTCAGAGGCATGTCTTTTTTTTTTCTTCTTCTTTTTTTTAAAGTTTATTTATTTTGAGAGAGACAGAGACAGCACAAGTGGAGGAAGGGCAGAGAGAGAATCCCAAGCAGGCTCCACGCTGCCAGTGCAGAGCCTGATGAAGGGCTTGAACCTATGAAGCTGTGAGATCATGACCTGAGCCAAAACTGAGTCAGACGCTTAACTGTCTGAGCCACCCAGGTGCCCCTATTTTTTTTTAAGTACAGTTGACATACAGCATATATTAGTTTCAGGTGTACAGCGCAGTGATTTGACAATTCCATACGTTACTCGGTGCCCACCACAGTTAACTGTGTAGTCACCGTCTGTCACTGTGCCACCTTATGGTATTATTGACGATATTCCCAATGCTGTACTTTTCATCACCGTGACTTATTTTAGAGATGGAACGTTGTACATCTTAATCCTCTTCACCCACGTCACCCCTCCCCAGATGCACAACTTCTGTGAAGCCTTCTCTAATCCCTGGCCACAAGAGCTATTCCTCAGAACTGGCACAGTGCTGTGAGACTCATAATTACACTGCATTCTACCACCATGATGATGATGATGATGATGATGATGATGATGATTTCTTTATATCACAGTATCAATAACATCTTTTAATTATTGAGCATTGACTAACTGGATATCCTGGACACATTATGTAACCTCTCCATGCCTCCGTTTTTCATCCGTAAAATGGTGGTAATAGCACCTGGTTCAGAGGGTTTTGAGGACTCGTTACAATCATACATGACACAAAGTACTTGGTTAGTAAACATTAGCTAGTGTAATAGGGGTGTACTTTATACTGTCTCAACCCTCAGACCCATGAACTGGGTGACTGTTATCATACTCTCTTTTTTAAAATTGTGATAAAAGGGGCACCTGGGTGGCTCGCTCGGTTGAGCATCTGACTTCGGCTCAGGTCATGATCTCACAGTTCGTGAGGTGGAGCCTCGTATCGGGCTCTGTGATGACAGCTCAGAGCCTGGAGCCTGCTTTGGATTCCGTGTCTCCTCTCTCTCTGCCCCACCCCCACTTGCACTCACAATCTCTCTCAAAAATAAATAAACATTAAAAATTAAAAAAAAATTGTGATAATAGATGCATAACATAAAATTTACAATTTTAACCTTTTTTTTGCTTTTCTCAAATTTTTATTTAAATTCTAGTTAGTTAACATATATGGTAAAATTGGTGTCAGGTGTAGAATTTAGTGATTTATCACTTACACATAACATCCAGTGCTCATCACAAGTGCCCTCCTTAATACCCATCACCCATTTAGCCTGTCCCTCGCCCACCTCCCTCCGCCAACCTTCACTTTGTTCTCTATAGTTAAGAGTCCCTGATAGTTTTTCCCCCCCTCTCTCTTTTTCCCCCTTTCCTCTATGGTCATCTATTTTGTTTCTTAAATTCCACATTTGAGTGAAATCTTATGGTATTTGTCTTTCTCTGACTGACTTATTTCGCTTAGCGTAATAAACTCTATTTCCATCCATGTCATTGTAAATGGCAAGATTTCATTCTTTTTGATGGTTGAGTAATAGTCCATTATATATGTACACCACATCTTCCTTGTCCATTCATCAGTCGATGGACATTTGGGCTCTTTCCATAATTTGCCTATTGTTGATAATGCTGCTGTAAATATCGGGGTGCCTGTGCCCCTTCAAATCAGTATTTTTGTATCCTTTAGGTAACTACCTAACAGGGAAGTTGCTGGTCATGGTAGTTCCATTTTTAACTCTTTGCAGAGCCTCCATATTGTTTTCCAGAATGGCCGCACCAGTGTACATTCCCACCCACGGTGTAAAAGCCTTCCCCTTTCTCCACATCCTTGCCAACATCTGTTGTTTCCTGTGTTGCCGATTTTAGCCATTCTGACAAGTGTGAGGTGGGCTTTTTTTTTTTTTAATGGAATGCTTCACGGAGCTACGTGTCATCCTTGCACAGGGCCATGCTAATCTTCTCTCTGTATTGTTCCAAATTTAGTATATGTGCTGCCAGCATGAGCCCCCATCTGAAGCATTTTTTAAAAAATGTTTTTAATGTTTATTTATTTTTGAGAGAGACAGAGCACAAGCAGAGGAAAGGAAGAGAGAGAGACACACACAGAATCAGAAGCAAGCTCCAGGCTCTAAGCTGTCAGCACAGAGCCCAATGCAGGGCTTGAACTCACAAACTGTAAAATCATGACCTGAGCCAAAGTCAGACACTTAACCGACTGAGCCACCCATGCGCCCCAATTAACCATTTTCAAGTACGTACAGTTCAGTAGTGTTAAGTTCATCCACCTCATTGTGCAGCCAATCTCCAGAACATGTTTCATCTTGCCAAAAGGAACCTCTATACCTACTGAACGGTTCCCCATTCCCTCCTCCCTGACACCCTGGCAAGCACTAGTCTACTTTCTGTCTCTATGAATTGTTATTACTACACTCTTTTTACAAAACTGAGGATACCAAAGTTCAGAGAGTAATTTGCTTCTGGGAGACAGAATCTGGACTTGAACCCAGGCCCCTGTTCATACTCTAAGCTACCTTGAAATATGCTCACAGAGCATCTGTGATGTGTTTTACTTCCCTTATAGCAGTGATGGCCACTATGTGGCCAGGCCCTCCTCTGTACCCATGTTTTGCAGCCATTCTCGAATTTAATCCTCACGGCAGCCCTGCAGTCACCGCAAGGGCGGTGTCCTATCGCCCCGCAGTGTCTGGTACAGAATAGAGACATGTGCAGTCACTCGGGGCCTATCGAGTGGGCTAAACAATACTAAGTGAGTTTGTTGTACATTTTTAATGCAATTGTTTACATTTTTGGAAAGTGTTGATCCTCTCAGGAGAAAACCAGCTGAAATGCAGGCGTTCATAAAGAACTTCCCAATCCTCCCCACTCCCCCTTCCTCCTGCAGAGTCAATCTGCTCTTCTCACCCTAGGCCAGCCCCCAGGCCGCCCCCTCATCTGTACATCCCAGCTCTGCCGATCCACAGCCAAAGGCAGAGACAGGCAGGCAAGGGGACAGGAGAGACTGTCCCTGCTCGGCTTCCGTCCAGGCCACCCCACGCCCACACCCTTCCCTCTGGCCATGCACGGTCCTGGCCATCCTGGAACAAGCTTTGTCCTTTCACGCCTCCGTGACTCCGCACATGCTGTTCTGGAACACTGGAATGCTTTCCCTCCCCTCTTTTCTCCACCTCTGAGACTCCTACGGTCTTTGCAAGGCAGCTCAGATGTCACCTCCTCTGTGAAGCCTCCTCCCCTACCCTCTGCTATCAGTCCGCCCCCTCCTCTGCACAGACTTGCTCATCATGTACTATTGCAGTGACTCCGAGTCAGTGTGTCCCCGTGTCGCCAGTTCCTTGTGCTGTGATGACGCTTCCTCTCTGCTCCTGGCCGGGGGGGGGGGGGGGGGGGGGGGGGGGGGGGGGGGGGGGGGGGGGGGGGGGGGGAGAGGGAAGGAGGAGGGATGGTCAAGAGTAGCCCAGGACACTTTGATTTTTTTGATGTGCCTAGTATATTTGAAAATGAAGGGGCGCCTGGTTGGCTCAGCCAGTTAAGCGTCCGACTTCAGCTCAGGTCATGATCTCCTGGTTCAAGCCCCACGTTGGGTTCTGTGCTGACGGCTCAGAGCCTGGAGCCTGCTTCGAATTCTGTCTCTCTCTCTCTCTGCCCCTCCCCCACTCGCAGTGTCTCTCTTAAAAATAAACATTTAAAACAATTTTTTTTAAATGAAGAGATGGCAAAACAAGTTCGCAAATAAATACTGAGGCAAATTTTTCCATGTTTAACAAATTAATGCTTCTAATAATACACAAAAATCACAGCATAATTGTGCTGCTTACAAAATAATTATAGGATTTACTGAAATAGAATAATTTATAATGCACCACAGGCCTAGCAGTCTGTTAATGAGAAACAAGCTTAGGGACAAAGACGGTCTTTGATCAAGTTGGCCAGTGGATCCGCCATCACGTATAACCCTATCTGGAGACTGTGTCAAAAGTCTAAATTTGGAGACCCTGGCGAAATGGTTCTTCTGGCCCCTTTCCGTGCTGATAGGCTGTGCTGCGGCTTCTGTATGCGGTAGGTGCTCAGTGCTTGCTGAATGATTGGAACACGTACAGCTTTGCAAGTTAATTATTGAAAATCCACATACAATAAGTATTCCTGAGAAACAAAGTCCTGAACAATGGGGCAGGAAGCCACCTCCTTCCAGTAACCCCAAGCCTTGGAGTCCCGTTGAAGTCTGCAGCAGGAAGCCCCTCACCCACTGCTTTTCCTACCCTTCTTCCTCAAGGGCACCAAATGCAGCTTTTGCTCTCAGCCTTTCTTCTCCTCCACCCTCGTGAGGGTCCCAGGTGAAGAGAAAGAAAAGCACTTACTCACAGAAGGAGGCAAGCAGCCAAGCTGGGCCGGGAGAGGAGACGTGTCCTGCCCCCAGGCAGGCCTGAGGAATAAAAGGGACAGAGAGAGGACAAAGAAGGACTTAAAGCACGGGAGCAAGGGGGAGAAAGGCCTAAGGAAGTTTACAAAGCAATCTGTCAGAGAGGGATGAAAAGGGAGCCCTGCTGGGCTGAGTGGCTCAGGCGCTCAACTCACCTTAGGCCCAATTAGAGAGGTGCGATTACTCAGCCAAAATCTGAACGAGCCCCCTCTGCGTCCCAGGAGTTTCCCTGAACAGGAGGCCTCCACTTGCCGGGTTCTGGGAACCTTAAATACCTCTGCTCTAATGGGCTCAATACACCAATTTGCGTGAACCCACCAAAGTGGCCCAACTTGCAATTCCCTCTAGATTTCCAGCAGAAACGTTATGTGAGGTGAAGGTCACCAGCACTTTGACTTCCCAGATTTTCTGAGCCAGTGAAAATATCCACAAGGACTTTCTAGAAGTCTCTCCTGCCACCAAAGGCGGGATTAATAATAATAACAGCTGCCCATCTGAGTGTTCATTCTGTGTGGAGGGCTTTACGCCATCTCACTTAGTGCCCACCACCACCTTAGGGATGATAGCCCTGTTTCACAGAAAGGGTAATGGGTCTAGACAGCCTGGATTCCAACTCAGGTCTGTTTGACCTTGATGTCCACACTCTTCCCACTATGGATCCTGTCCCTCTTGGGAGTCCTCTACAATTCCCTTTCTTTCTTTTTTCTTTCTTCCTTCTTCCCTTCCTTCCTTTCCTTTTTCTCTTATTTTTTCTTTCTTTCCTTTTTCTTTCTCTCTCTCTTTTTTTTTTGTGGTACCCAAATAAATTTCATATGGGGTAGGATGGCACAATTCTGAGCTATCTAAAGAATTCCTAAGCTCACAGCTGGGGATGGGAAGAGCAGTGGGAGTGGGAGAGTCGGTCTCGTGGCTGGGTAGGGTCCTACTTCTTTTTAGACACTTGAGTAATTTGACCATAAATAACTGGGCACTGGGAACAGGACACTCACTAATAAAAGCATAGCCTAGAGTCATGTTGGGGGGGGGGAGAATTCAAGTCACTCAGTGGGTGGATGTATCTGCAAAACAAAAGAAAAGCCCCTTTCCCAGCCCAGGCAGAGAAGTCTCCTGTTAAGTTAGAGACAACAGGCTTCTGGGCACGTAGCCAAGGTTCTGGGGATATTTATAACTTGAAGAGGGTGGGAGTCCCTAATAAGCTGCTATATTCTTTTTCCATCACTTCCCTCTCCAAGGCTACAGCGGGCTCAGAGCTCTTCCCCGCGCAGAATGCCTGCTTTCCCTAGTGCTCGGCTTCCATTGTCTAATTTTCTCATCCTGGCTAGGGAAAGGGAAGGCTGCAAGTCCTTCCGTTCGGAAGAACTCCAGTTGAATGCAGCTTAGCCGCTGCTGGTGTTTCTTGGCTCGCTGCTGAGGTCTCGGGGATCTGGCTAGGAGTCTGTGGTTTCCCTAAGCTGCTTGAGAGTCTGCGAGTCTTTGGGACCCGCCTATGATCTCTGGGCTTTGCCTGCAAGTCTTGGGGTTTGAGAACTACCTGCGGGTCTGAAATAGATATCCCGGATCTGCCAGTGATCTCTAGAATCTTTCCAAACACTCAAAGTCTCAGAGAACTCTGCGGATTTGGAATTTGTTTGAGGCCTCTCAGATCTTGGAGCCAGCGACCTAGTGGATCTTCTGCGGGTCAGGCGGTAAGTCTGTTCTTTCCCAGCTTGGTTTTTCGGCTTCCCATCTTCAGCCGGTCAGGGACTGCTAGCATCCTGAGGGCCCGCCCAGCTCAGACCCTCAGAGGCCCAAGAGCCCATCCGTGCAGGAAACCTTCAGAAATCCTCTTAGTAGACAAGCCCTCAGGGAGGATAAGGATGGCTCTTTTCAGCCCTGGGGCTTGACTTGCTCCTTATGCGCCCTACCCTCCGCCTCGCTTCTGATGTCCCTCGGGTTTTCGCTTTCGCTCTGCTGGGCGCAACTCAGCCCGCCCATGAAGCGGCGCCCTCTTAAGAAGGACAAGGTTGGATGCCCCTACAGGGTTAATTAGCAACAGGGCCGGGACGCCGCCTGGCCAAGCCGCGGACTCCACTAGCCAGCGCACTGGCGGCGCGGAGCCTCCTGGGAGTTGTAGTCTGAGTAGCCCGGTGAGAGTGCCGCAGGCACTGCTGGGAGACGTAGTGCGTGGGCGGAGCTCAAAGTTCCAGCGCGGCCGCCGAGTCTCCCCTGGGGAGTGGGCGGCTGCCGCTTTTTTCTCAAGCCCCGGCTGTCAAATGAGGGCTAATCCCAGCAGAACCCAACACAAGCCAGCGCCTAAATTAGGCCCGACATCGAAGTTAAGGCCCGACTCAAGACAAACATAAGGTCGTGAGGAGATGCAGGGCAACCTCTGGCTTAATCGGGCCGTGGTCTCCAAGAGACGAAAGCGGAAGATACTCCTCCCTGGCGAGGAGGACGCCCTTCCTTCTTCACCCTTTTGTTCTTTTCCCTCCTTGGTTTTTGGCCTCTGACTGGCCTTTGTACGTGGGAATGGAACTCCAACTCCCGGCAGGCTACGGGAACAGGCGCAGGCGTGATAGAGGTGCTCAGCCAC